CCCCCACCTCCCGTCCCCAGGCGCCTGCAAGGGGCACTTCCTCTGCCCTGGTGGGGTGAAGGGAATGGAACCGGATCATGATTGTGGGGACACCGCCCCCATCTTCCGCTCCTTCCGGTAGAATCTGGTTTCCTGGAACAGGAGCAGAATTCTCGGAGGTGGTAGGGACACGTGAAGGACTCCAGAGTTCTTCCAAACCTGCATAATCTAAAACCCACTTCACAAATGAAGAGATTTTTTATTCCACTGTCATTCTCTTAAGAGTGGGATGGAATTTGTCAAAGGCTCAAGCAATTGGGAGAGTCTAGTCTGTCTTCTGCCAAGAAGAAATCATTACAAATTTTGCAAAAGTGTGAAATGATGCTGCTCTTTTCACTAGTTTTTTGTTGTTTGGTTTGGGATAATATAGATTTTTTTTTTCAATAAAACTAAGTTGTGTAAAAATAAAATGCGTTCCTTACTGTAAAATAAATGAATATTTTATAAACTCAGTTTTCATTTCAAATATAGTTAAGCATATGTAAATAAAGTGTGTTAATTTATAAGAATGTAAAAAGACCGTGAAACCAAAAACTGTAAGCCACTCTGCCTGTTCAAGAAGAACAACACTGAAAATTACTGCCTGTGGGGACATAGAAGACAGTGCTCAAGAAAAACAGGTCTAAATTGGATGGGGCAAGACTGGGTCAACAAGTTAAATGCAGGGATTCTGTAAACCTTTTTGAGGAGTACTAGTTTCCATCTTCTCCCTCGTTAATCAAAATAAAGCTCGCCTCTGAATAATCCCATAAAATACTGCTTTTGTCACTCCAATTGAGGGCTTATTTTAATGACAGTTTTTCCATCTTTGGAGGTAACTAGAAATAAAAGATTCTGGGATGTCTATTCATTAAAGTTAGTAACTATGATAGAGTACATGCCAGAGAGCGGGGAATTAAAGGAGAGGTACAGGGAATGTCCAGAGTAATAAATCTTGGGCTGTGGGAGTGAACAGGAAATTGGGGCAGGGGTTGGCTGGAGAAGCACAATGACCTGTTCATTGCAATGTTCAAGGTCAAGTGCACAGAACACTTCCCAAAGCTCTGAACATGGACATCTTGTGAGAATTCCCGCAGTTTTAGAGTACTTTCTTAGACCTGACATCAGGTTGAGGAGTGTGAGAATCAAATAGGACAGTCAGCACATCCCCTGCTATGGTTCATTCTTTCTCAGTAGTCCACACTCACACTGTGTAGCATACTTCTTTTCCTACTTTTACTCAGCCCAAACTTGTCCTGCTGACCATGCCTCTTTTACTACCTTTAATAAATGTAAAACCTTACTACCTTTTGTACTTACCTTGACCAGTTCTTTTCTCCAGGACAGAGAGAACCTAGAAACCACCTCTAGAATGAAACCTCAGCACCCCAAAAACTGGTAACAGAAGAACTTACCTTTAACAGTTCTATGATAAGTTTTTGCAGTGGTGTTTCCTATGATTTTTAAGCCTGTTCTCCAGTCTATAATTTCATTATAAAAGCAAATCTCACTGTAGCAAGATTTAAAAAAAAAAAGAACAAGTTCTTCCCAGCCTTGCATAGCCCCTCCACTCTCGAATCACCCCTCCCCCTAGAGCTGTAACTCCTTATTCTGTTACAGATAAATTTGACAACTATGTCCTGTAAACAAAGTTTATCACACTTTATTCTGACATGATTCATAATACTCTGTCTTCACTCAGGGCTCACTACCTGTCTATCCTTGTCCTATTTCACATTAGCTACATCAGTAAAAAGACCACCCCCTCCTTGGACCAAATGTATAAAAACTGGAGCTTCTCCTTTGTTCTCTGCTCTTCCTTTGGACATTAGTCTGTTGAGCCATGTTCATCTAGAATGAAGTCCTCCTGTCTCCCATTGGTCTCTCCTGTCTCTTGAATTCTGCAACATCACCACTGCAAGAAGAGTCCAGTGTTTCCTTTTGCCAGGCTTCCTTCTGGCTCTGCCCTTCTTCCAGTGTATTAGTCTTGGGAGAAGAGACCTTGTACTTAGAAATCCAGGGAACCAGGATGGGGTAGAAAAGCTTCCCTTGAACCAAAAGGCCATGGAGAGTTTTCGGAATTAATTTCCATAGTCTTGCCCTACACACACACACACACACACACACACACACAATTTGCCAGTTTCACCAGCCAGAAACTGACAATGGACATTGTCCCAGGCAGCCAGCAAAGGGACCATTCAGCAATTCCCTTATTCCATGCAAAGCCATCTGATCGGAGGTGTGTTTCCAATAAATTTTGAGTTTATGTTCAGTAAATATGTATTCAAATTTGAAGAAACTTGTGTTAGTTCCTCAACTGTTTTAACAAATATTAGGTGGGTAAATCTATGTGGGTGACATACGTGGGAAAGGAGAGTGGGAGAGGGAGAGAGAGAGATGGGTTGGGAGATTGCAGATATGTACGGAGGGAGTAAATAATAGGCTAGAGCAAATAAGAACAAGTTAGAGTTACCTAGGATAAAATGTAGTTTGGTGAAGAAGTAGAGTAGCACACAATTTCAAAAACCAAAGGAATTCTGCAGAGGAGTGATTCCAGAGATCCTGGTAACTGTGTGGTTGGCCTCCCAGGGCCTCTTCTCCCTGTCATTTGGGTAGTCTCTTTGTTTTGGCTTTAGCCCTGTTGCATCAGAAATGTCCTCCTTTTAGTTTCCTTGCAGTTCCTGCCTGTGTAAGCACTTTGAACTTACTTTTTGTCCCTCTAGGCTTGGCAGAAGTGTTTTCCACCCAGAAATCCTTGGCCCAAAGGGAGGAGAGGGATGTGCTGATAATGGGCACTCCTGGCTGGGCTACTGGGTGGCCTGTGCTCCGCAGAACAATAGGTTGCAGGCGCCGACAAGTCTACCTCAAGCCTGTGATCCCGGCCATTTTTTCTGTTCCCTACTTGAGCCTACAAGTGGCTGCCGGTAGGGGTCACGGCTCCAATCAAGAGAGTACTTGGGCTTCTGAAATCTCGCTTCCCTTCTTCTGTCTCCTACAGTGAGCCATCAGCTCAATGTGCAGCAAAGGAGCCATCTGATAAAAGTCCTCCCAGCTCTTCACTAAGAAACTATTTGTAAAAGAAAAGTGAAGGTACCATGAAAAGTCTGAGATCACTTGTAAAGTGAGAGGTACTGAGATCAAATTCCAGACAGAGCGTTTGGAGACAAGACTCAGCGCTAACCGAAAAGTAGATGCCACCAATGGAAGGCAAGACTGCAGGATCAAAAGCAGCCATGTTGAGAGTATCATAGGAAGAAGACATCTGAGGAAGACACAGATAATAGAAACAAAGTAATTGGAAAGATGAAAGACAGGGAAAGACTTCTGAAACATATCAGGAAATCATTATACCTAAAAACAGAATTCTGAAAAGGTTAACAACTGTGAGGTGAACAAGAAAGGCTGGGGCAAAAATACAAACCCACAGCCCAACTGACAAATCCTGAGAGTTTACTCCTGACAGACCCACAAAAGACCCTGCAGATAGCTCAGGGAGCCTCCACTCACTGGACTATAGTGAAGAACCAATGAATGAGTATTTCTGAACCACTAAGATTTCTGACAAACCTTCACAACTAGAACTGGTTAACCCTGCTCCCACAATAAGCAGGAGGCACCTCAAGATAGAGAACACACACACACACACACACACACACACACACACACACACACACACTGGGGCAGGAGAATGAAAAAGCTTTCAAAGTGTTTAAGACACCTCCAAATAAGAAA